CTTCGTAAAGAAGAGTCTGACTCTCAAACCCTTATCTAGCAAATCTTTCTCAGGCAGACCGCAGAGCTTTATAATCCTCTTGACATTTTCATATTCACATAGTGAAAACAGGTGCTGACTTTTAAATAAGAATACCATCATACACCCAACGGACCACATGTCTATTCCTTCATCGTGTGGAAGACCGAAATAAACCTCCGGTGCCCTGTACATCTCATTCTGCACTAATGAGGTCTCAGGTGAACCACCTGTCCTATATGCAAAACCAAAATCTATTAGCTTCACCTTAAATGGTTGTGAATCATGATTAACCAGCATTAAATTATCTGGTTTTATGTCTGAGTGGGTAATGCCAATACTCTTCAGAGCTTTGAGGGTTACAAACATCTGTTCAGCGATGGGTCTAATTTCAGCCAGAGTCAGAGGTTTACACTCTCGCTGTCTTAGAAAGTTAATGAAATCTTCATCCAACAGCTCTTGAACAATAAAAAGGACACCCCTGTCGGTGAAACTATCAATAAATCTGATTATGTGATTTTTATCTGGGTCAAGACTACTGATAGCCTTTAATATCTCCACTTCCTGCTCACCATACTCTCTCACTACTTTGTCGAATATTTTTACTGCCAAATCCTCTTCCGTTTCAACTTTTTTGCACTTTGCAACTGTTCCAATAAACCCCGTTGCTAGAAATTCTTCAAGGTAATATTCACTTTCAAATCCAAAAGTAACCCCTTCATGTATAATTAAATCTTCCTCTGTGTAATTATTTTCTTCGTCTGAAACATTGCCTGGTGTGCCCAGGTCACGACCTGAAGTTTCACGGCTGCTGGTTGAAAAGTCCTCTCTGACAAAATTGTAGTTCAGAGCCTCAGCTGGGGATATTCTGTCTTCTGGATTCACAAATAGCATTTTCTTAAGCAACTGGATAAAAGCTATGACTTCCTCAAAATTATGATATTGTATGCCCACTTCCAAAATTAAGCAACTAAGAAATTTGAAGTCCTTATAAAATGAGTTGCCACAACAAACTTGTCTCCCTGACTTCTGTAAATATTCCTCTGGAGTTTGAAGACTCCAATCTGAATCTGGTGTAAAAAAATGATCGGTACATTCGCCCTGATCAAGGTACTTTCTGTGAGGCAAACCGTTAACCTCCACAATCTTTCTCATGTACTCATAATCACAGCACGTTGGATAAAGTGGATGGCCAAGAAAAATGAAAGCCAGTGTCATTCCTACACTCCAAATGGCCACTTTTTCATCCAGTTGACACTGTAATAACACTTCCGGCGCACTATATCCACAATTCTTTGGTATGGTCATTTGTGAAAGCATTGATGTTTTTCCAGCCCCATCAAATCCAGTCAGCTTCACTCTAAACGTTTGTGATTCATCGTTGACTACAATAATGTTCTCTGGTTTTATATTCATATGAATGATGCCAACATTCTCTAGATCAGTTAAGGCTGTAAGCATTTGCCGTGCGAACACTTTGATTTCTTGCATGCTAAAGCGTTTATTAGCTCTGCTTTTCACAAAATCAGACAATCTCATGTCTAACTTTTCAAAGACAAAGCAAAACCAATCTTGGAAACCAAATGTTTCAATGATCTTGACAAAGTTACTTTCTCCTGGATACCGATCTTTGAGATAATGAAGTACCTTTGCTTCATGTTTGTAATTCAAAAGATGTTTTGTAGGAATGCATTTCAAATCAAAGATATTGCCCGTTTCTTCCACTCTGCAACGTGCTAAAACTGCACAGTTAGCATCCACATTTGAGATTTCCAAAACTTGGTAAACTGTAGACTCACTTATAATTGCTGCTCCTTCTGTAATCTTAAAATCTGTCGACATTTTCAAAGCTCTTGTTAAACTCTGAGATGAGCAATCTTCTGAGATGTTCTTGCCTGCAATGCTAAGCTGAACTGACTCCTAATGCTATGATCAGCTATGATGTCACAAAGAACGTCACTGGGTTCGATACCACGTGATGATGCTCCAAACGTTGCTGCGTCACGTTTGCGTTGCGTGCGGGTGTGCGCGACTATCAGTGCAATTTAGGGGAAATGCGCATGCGCAGACCGACTACTACGCCACAGGCTTGGAGACGCTTTTTTTTTTTTTTACTTTAAAGAGCTGTTTCCCTGGAGACGCGGTCCGCTGATTTGCCTGAATAAAATGCAAAGCACATATAAAATTATGAATATACCTTAATGTTCATTACCATCGCATTATATATACAGTAATAAGAGTAGGAACATACAATCAACTTTACCATGTTTATTGTTTTAACTTAAGCCTTGTTTTTCTTTTTTTTGTCAGGCACCATTAAGCAATTTAAAATTGTTTAGGTCCTCAATCTAAACAAGGTTCAGAAAGCATGAAACTTGGGAAAGCTGTCGGATTTTATTCTATTTAGCTATATTTTTTTCATATTTTTTTTAATTTAAAGTGATTTCCTACTTAATAGCAGAATGTTCATCTCTTCACAAAACTTACTGGTCGCCTTCAAACGTTTCACCCTCGTCATGGTGAGCGTGACTGGATAGTTAATCCTGTCATTTACTTATAATCATTTGTTTTATTATGATTTTATTTGTACTTTTGTCTTATAGTCACTATTTTTATCGCTAATCAGAGTTGTTTTTATAGAAATTTAGTGTCACAACTGGAATTAATAAGAGTATTGGTAAAATAATGCTAATGAAAATGTTTGCTAATGTGTTTTTTAGGTAGGAGTTGCATCTGATTTATTGTACTTTTCTTCTTTAAAGCTTCTTTTCAGTAATTTTCTTGTAACTGATTTCTTAAAAATAAAATAAAAAAGCACATTTTAAAAAGGGGAATTGAATTGTAACTATTAATTGCATAAGCGATGCGTTTAAAGTGTATAAAATATGAATTGTTTCCCTTGGTTTGTTAAAAAGCACATCATCACTTTAAGTAGTAGATCATGCATTTGAGTATTTATTATTAGTATTAAAGGATTCATTTATAGTTATTATTTTGTCCAGACAGATCAAAACAAATGCAGTTATAAAGAGCTGTATTTGTTACTGTTGGCCAATGTGTGACATTATTTTATAACTTTTTGATCAGATCTGAAAGAAAAGTCTATAAAAACATTGAGATGAGGTAAAAGTAATGTACTCTAAATGTGTACTTTGTAGTACGTGGGTACCAGCCCCTTTAAAGGAATCTACCATCTTTATGCAGATGATCCAACTGTACAACTCTTTCAAGCTGAATGAGATGTCTAAGCTGCAGCTGTTACACACCTGCTTAGACTCTATCAAAACCTGGATGGCTGGGAGCTTTCTTCAGCTGAATGAAGATCAGACTGAGATCCTCATCTGTGCCCCAGACAAGCTGGTTCCCAAAGTCAGAGACTCTCTTGGTCAGCTTGCTTCCCACGCCAAACCTCTGTCAGGAATCTTGGCGTGACCTTTGACCCAGCTCTCACCCTGGATTCTCATGTCAGTTCTCTCGTTCGCTCTTCCTTTTTCCATCTCAGGAACATTGCTAAGCTGAGTCCCATTCTGTCCCGCTCTGAACTTGAGACAGTTATCCACACCTTCATCTCCTCATGCTTAGACTACTGTAACTCTCTTTTCACGTGTCTGAGCAGAACCTCCTGGAACTGTCTACAGGTGGTTCAGAATGCCTGTGCTCGGCTTCTGACCAAGTCCTCCAAACACACCCACATCACCCCGCTTCTCCAGCTTCACTGGCTGCTGGTTAACTTCAGCGTTCATTTCAAGATCCCGGTTCTGGTCTTTAGGGCCTTACATGGACAAACACTATCATACGCTGGTGATCTTCTCAGTCCCTACACCCCCAGCAGGTCCCTGAGGTCCAGTGACCAAAGTCTACTGGTTGTGCAGCACCAGACTAAAGACCAAAGGTGACAGATCATTTGCTGCTGTGACCCCCAGACTCTGGAACTCTCTCCCCTGAGCCTGAGATCAGTGGACTCAGTGGACTCCTTTAATAAGCAGCTGAAAACTCACCTGTTCAAGCTGGCTTTGGCGTGACCTTCGTCACCACCCTCTCCTTATTCCGCTCTTATTCCACTATTCACTGATTCCCTCTTTCCTATTCATTTTCTCTCTTCCTTTCCTTACATTATTATTTTATGTTTTTTAATCACAATCACAAATTTTTTCTCATTTCGAACATATTTTTGATCTTTTTATTTTTTTAAAGCTTTTTTGTACTTGAATCTATTTCTTGTTGTTTATGTGAACGCGATTTTTATCTTTAGAGGCACTAAATAAGAGATTGTTTTCTTTCTTTCATTTCCGCTCTGAGAGAACACAAGCAGCTTATCTTGACTTTTGAGAAGCTGGAGATAAAAATGCTGATTCACTTTTTTTGTCTCTCTTCCTAGCCTGCGGTAGCTGTGTGTAACGTGGGTCAGCTGGCTGTCGACCTCGTCGTTTCCACTCTCAACCTGAGCAGAGTGGGTTACTTAAACACAGACTGTCTGATCCCGATGGCCGGGAACGACCCGTACAGCAGCTCAGGAGGATGCCGAGGCGCTGCACTGTCCTGCAGAGGGTATCGTCTCATTACTGTCCTTTATTGGATCTAGAACTCTGCAGGGCGAACACTTCATTACTTCCTGTTAAAAATGAAAAATGTTTTGTTTAGTTTTCACAGCAGCAGAACAGATGTTGGCAGTTCTTCAAGTCAAAGTGCCGATTATTCAGGTGAATTGTTTATTTTTTTCTTTTTTCAGTAAGTTTTTATAACATCAGCTGAATTAATATCCTATAAACTTTGTTTTCACTGCAGATAAAGTCTAAGAAGTTCCGTCAGATGTTCGTTTCCTGGATCAAATCCAGCGGCTTCTCCAGGACTGTGGTCCTCTCCAGCAGCCACACCTACCAGAGGGATGACCATCCATGTTTTTGTCTACCTCAGCTGTTTAAAGTCTGTTCTAAGTGCTGATGAGTGAAATATGCCTGTTCAGGACTCCCTTGAGGTATCTTGCAACCCCGTCCCTGTTGAAGGTGAGCGCAGACGCTCTGAAGACGCTCGGCTGGAGGGACATGGAACTAGTGCCGGCATTTCCTGGAGTGAAGGACGCCAATGCAGAGCCAAGACAATGCATCCCGAGAGGATCACCAAAGGGCTTTACTCCGACAGGTAGAAGGAGAAATGAAATAACAAATATAATAAAACCTGAGGAGACGTTTAATGACTCTCTCCTCTAAAGGTGAGAGGAAGACAGCGGGGTTTGACTTTTTTTGTGATGTTGGGAGTATTTAGGCAATTAGGACACACCAAACCAAAAGCTTTATAAAACCATTTTGATTCTGTTAATTACTTTGCAAACTTGGCTATTAGAATTTATTCAACTAAATACAGTGCTCAACTTACTGTTTTTAAATAATTTAACCTTAAAGAGTAACTAAACCCAAAAATAAACTGTTCTTTTTACTTATAAACTGGGTCTTTACAAATGCAATCTTTCTGTTTCTGTGCATTTTTTGACACATTTGTGTAAACTTGATTAAATCTAGAATCTAGGTCTAAAAACGTCTTAGTGCTGCCCCCTGTGGGTTGAACTGTGGCTACTGCATTTAAAATTTGCAATTGACTGGGGCTGGTGCAATGTCACGTCATCAGTACCGTGTCCTCCCACTCCCCCTCCCTCCCAAGATGGAAATTCCCGGCACTTGGCCATGACACTCCGTGCCTCCTGGCAACTCCCACAATCATACCATATTTCAAATCTTGACTGGGTTGGAGTTACATTTTCTGATAGTGTGCAGTCCCTCTTGAAGATCCACGATTTAGTCAATTTTAAATTAACCAAACTATGTATAAAGCATCTTTTGCATCTTTTGCCCCGCCATGTTCTAAACTTATTTCAAGATAAAGATTCTCATAACTACAACTTACGAGGGAGCAAAAAACTGTATCAGCCTATAGCCTATAGCACATTCAAATGAATGTGTCTCTCAGGGAGGGGAGTGAAACTGTGGAATAACTTGGCAGAGGAAATTAAAAATGCAGTAAACTTTAAGCAATTTAAAAACCTAAATAAAAGCGATGTGATGACCAGGTATAATGAGGAAAGGGAGGCATTATCCCTACAACGGATGACATGAGGAAAAATCTAATAGCCTTTGAGCTAGGCATGTACAAGGTTAGAATATGGGTGACACAGGTGAAGATAGGTTTGTTTGTTTTGTGAATTCCAGTAATGCAATACTGCTTTGATGGTATTGTTATGGACAAAGTCTGTACAAGGAAGGGATAAAGTCACTGAAAATGTACACTGTATAGAGGAGGGGTATATATATATATTTTTTTTCTTCTCTTTTTTATTTCATTCAAAATAAAAACAAATAAAACCTATAAACAATAAGAAATACATAAAAACAAATCAAATTTTAACGAAAAGGAGCAGAATGAAGAAAAACATCTTATAATTTCTGCCCCCTTTTCCAGAAGAAATAATCAATTTATATACAATTTGAATACAATTTGTCAGACACACATACAGATTAATTTTAAACGTTTTCTTGTTCTAAATTCCAGTGCGATCATGATCATTAATTTAATTTACCTTTTCATAATTATTTAGTACACTCAATTTGGTACATTTTGTGAATACATTAACTGACAGTTTTTTTAATTTCCCTTATATATATATATATATATATATATATATATATATATATATATATATATATGTATATATATATATATGTCTATATATGTATATATATAGAAATGTTGCCTTGCAGCAAGATGGTCCTGGGTTTGCTTCCCGGCCTGGGATCTTTCTGCATGGAGTTTGCATGTTCTCCCTGTGCATGCGTGGGTTCTCTCCGGGTACTCCAGCTTCCTCCTACAGTCCAAAAACATGACTGTTAGGTTGATTGGTCTGTCTAAATTGTCCTTAGGTGTGTGTGTGCGTGTGATTGTTTGTCCTGTGTGTCTCTGTGTTGCCCTGGGATGGACTGGCAGCCTGTCCAGGGTGTACCCCGCCTGATTGCCCGTTGACCGCTGGAGATAGGCACCAGCCCCCCTTTGACCCTGGGTGGACAAGCGGGTTCAGAAGATGGATGGATGGATATTTTTATGCCTAGCTCAAAGGCTTTATATGTATGTATATATATGTATATATATATATATATATATCGGACCGACGTTTTCTGTCATTCCAGAGCTTTTACAGGCTTTAATAACTTCTCTCTAAACCTCCTTGGATGGTAAACTGATCTGGGTGTTTGTATGTAAACTTTCTTAGAAGTGTACTCGCATACTGATAGCAGGCCATATAGTGTCTGTTTTTGCAACCGTGCATGCGCACAAAGATGAAAAAAGATGACAACATAACTTTTTTGTTTGTTTTTTCTCCATCAGTTTCATAAGGGGACACCTATGTACAAAACACCCTGCAATCAGCATACAAGTGTTATAATTTTCATGAATAAAAAGGTAAAAAATGACCCCATTGCTTTTTTTTTTTACAAATTGCACACTGTATACAGCAACACTGAAATGAGGTTGCATGTCTGTTTTGTGATTTAGTTTGAAATGAATAGAAAACACCCCGATTTAAAGGCACTGCATCAATCTGAGCAGAACCATCAGGTTTGAGTGGGTGTGTAAATATTTTGTCCACCTGTAGGGGGCAGAAGAGTCACAGTTTTGTGTCTAAAAGAGACTGAGGGGCTGCAAGTTCAGTTTTAATGATCTAATTTTAATTGGATAAATTTAGGCTTGATATTTATAATATATAATTTAACTACTTGGACAAGAGTAAACCAATTATAGCATTTGAAATGTTTAAACATTGAAGTTCAGACTACACTAATAAGGATTTGTGAATTTCAGTATTTTGACTGACACCTGTAAGGTCAAAAGGTGGATAGAAGGAAGATTCCTCCCTGTAGGCTTTTCTCAGTAAGGAGGAATACATTTTTAATGAGATGAAAAATTATGTGCTGGCAGACAGTAACCAAAAATATTGTGAAGTATTTAGTTCTACAGGTCTTTTAAAACAAGATGTTCATTCAGTGTGATATTTTATTGAGTTGTGATGAACTGAAAAGAGAATCAAGTTGAGACATTTTGGCAAAACATTTATGTGTAAAAGTTCCCATCTCACCCCCCGCAGGTGGTCTCATCCTTCCAAGCTTGGGTCCTCTACCAGAGGCCTGGGAGCTTGAGGGCTCTGCCAGTCCTCCAGTTTGGGGGTTCCTGCCCCGATGACCACGGTCACCACTGATGTCTTCACTCTCCAGGCTTTCTCAAGTTCTGCTTTGAGGCCTTGGTACTTCTCTAGTTGCTCATGTTCCATTTTCCTGATGTTGCCATTACTTGTTATTGCCACATCAACCACAATGGCTGTCTTCTGTTGTTTGTCCACCGGTTGGCTCCCCATCACCATTTTGTCAGTTTGGACCTAAAGTGCCACAGGAGCTTGGCTCTGTAGTTCTCAACCACCTTAGGTGGTGTTACCCACTTTAACCTTGGGGCTTCCAGTTCGTGTGTGTGTGTGTGTGTGTGTGTGTGTGTGCGTGTGCGTGTGCGCGTGTGTGTGTGTGTGTGTGTGTGTAAAAGCAAGTGTCCCTGACCCAGAGCAGCCTGAACATTAATAATTCTCTAAATGGTGTTAAATGGACAGCAGATGAGTTTAGTTCTGGAAGCCATTTCTAAATAACCATCTGTTTATTTAATCCAACTTCAGGTGTCTGGTAGATTATTGCCAGAATACGCTTCATATTTATGACAGAATCCTTTTTTGCTTTCTTAGTTCCAACCATGTCTGGAGTCATTTTTTATCGTAGTGATGTAAAGTTTTTTATATGTGAATAGAAAGAATGTTTTCAGGTCATTCAGTCACAAAACTCCTGAAGGAAACTGGGTCTGCTGAAGTAAACTCCAAAAATCCATGTCCAAAAATATCTCTGCTCAGGGGAGCTGTTGGTAGAAAAGTGTCAATAATGTTAGAAGAAAGCTCGGGCTGAGAGGAGAAGTGGGGGTGATCAGAGATCCTGCAGTGTGGTCAGCAGCAGCGCCACACTGTGTGGGGTGGGGGTGGGGGGCATGAATAGATAATCCATGTGTAAACTCGTGGAAATGTCCTGAGAGGTGCTGAAGTGACACAGCAGTAGCAGCAGATGGTCGTTATTTGGAGCTGTGGCGTAACAGGGCTCAGGTGTGTCCCCCAGAGCAGACGTTTCTGACCAATCTCTATGCAAGAAGAGGCAGTGAGGTTCAAACACTGATTTATTTCAAGAATACCATCAATCCGTGAGCAGCTTTATGTGTTGTTTAGTGATCAGATGATCAAGAAGCAGAGAGGTGAGGTGTTTTATTTTTCACGCCGGTGGAATGATTAGACCGACCTTCCTTCCTGCTTTCAAAGTCTCCTACAGACTCTGCTGTTTGAAAACAAAGTTTAACAAGATGTTTTTTTTGTTCTTTCTAAAGGACAAGTTGGATTAATACGATCTTAAAACCATCTGTAAAGCTAAAAGTCATCAAGTCTGTTTTAGAGCATTTAATAAATAAAGTTTGGTACCTTTATCAGGCCTTCATTTTAAACTGTTTAGTCAGTTCAGTCTATTGATGTTATGCAATGTCTAGAAATGCATTCATGACAATAATACGTTGGTGGGTGGACTGAGAAAAAGGTTCAAGTCCAAACATCGTAGGAACAATGCGTTATGTAACATACACACAGTAGAAATAAAGAGATTTAAAATCTTTTGTTTGATTCAAGATCAGTTTTACTGTCAGCGCATACAAACGCGTGTTTAACAAAGATAAGAGATTTCTGAATATCTTTAAGCTCCCAAATGAAGGTGATGTTGTCAGTTTTAGCTCTGGATTGGCTTCGACACGCCCTCACACATTCTCCTCTTGTTTAAATCACTCAGCTTTGATTCAAAATGAGCATAAAATCACCTTTTGGATGACAGCTTGTGGTTTTCAACTGCTGCTGTTCTTAAATGTTGGCAACAAAAAAGTCCCGAAATACGTTTCCAACATGATCTACTATGGTGTGCATACATACATTAATCAGATTACACTAAATAACATTAAGAGTTTGTACAAACTGACATCATGTAAAAACTGGTGCAGCAAACTTTGTAACGGTAATTTCTCAAAATGTTTTCTGATTGCTTGTTTCCAGTCCTTGACCAAGAGTTCTGTTTGAATCAAAGGAGTCAAGTTACAAAGTACAAATACTTAATTACTTTACTTAAAGTGACAGTGTGCATTTTTCCTGGTGATAAGGGCAGTACATACCTAAATCATTGCAAACAAGCTGTGATTTTGTGTCTGAGTAAGATCTTACCAACGGGTGGCCATTAGGGTCAAAAATCCCATGAAGCTCAATTTTTATCGAGTTCTTTGTCAGATCGTTCAACCTCTAGCAAAAAGACAAGCACATCAGGCTCCCTTTCATCCCTGACGAAGGAGCTAAGAGGTAACTCTGTAAAACAACATTTATGAATGGTGAAAGTTTTGTAATTGCTTGTTACAAATCAGTAAATGCCTTTTGTCCTCACAGGCTCACGTAGAAGGAAACTGCATCTAATATGGTGTCGCCCAGAGATTTAGACCCCCATGTATTTTAGACCTGGTATGGTTATATATAACAAAGCCGCTAATAGTTCTCAACTCCGGGGTATCATTTAGTTAAATTTCAACAATATTTCGAATGATATTTCCAGAGATCAATGGTAAAAGAAATCTACACATTGTCGCTTTAAGTTGAAATTTGGAGTATTTATACTTCAATTTTGTAATGATCCAACTTTATTTTTCAGGTAATTATCTACACTTTCCACTCCTTATATTTTAAAAATGTCTCCTCTTATTGAATTGCACCATCCACATGTGGTTTTTTAAATGTAATTTCTTTGCACTAAATGCATTATTTTCAATGGGCGTAGGTATGTGCAACTGAAGCAGGTAGCTTAGAGTATCTCAAAGTTGTTAACATTCACATCATTACCTCTAGTAAAAGTATTTGTTTGGTGAGGTGTGGTAGTGCTGTGATATAAACCTACAAACTTAGATTTTACTTTGATACTTTAAGTAGTTTTTACTCGAGTAAAACATTTGAGATGATGCAGTTAAAATCCTGCCTATAGTTCCTGCCTGAAAAAGGAATGTTAAGACTTCTGACTCCTCTGGGTGTTTTACACAGAAAATGTTTAAAGTTTAAGCATGGTGGGAGATATGTGATGGTAGTTACCTAAAATATTTATTTTCTTTATACTGGCATTGGTTTGTGTTACTATCAGAAATTAAGAGTTGGAGCACATCGGTGAGACATCCAAGATGCAAAACCGAATGCGACCGTAGGTCATTCATTCCCACTGCAGTAAAACTGTGTCACTCCACTATCCTGTCACATGCTAACATCAAAGCTATATTCAATACCTGTGCAATACCCAAATACACATTTTTATATCTGTGTCTTAATGCTGTTCTTTGTGGAAAGTATTTTCTATTTCCTGCTTTTACTTTATTTAATTCATTTTTTGAGTGCTGAAGGTTACGGTAATAGCCTCATTCCCTGTGTATTTACCTGTATTATTATTATTATTATTATTAATAATAATATTATTGTTATTATTATTATTATTATTAATATTTCCTAACTCTGTAAGTATGTGCTGCCTTAACAAGTGAATTTACCCATTGTGTAATCAATAAATTCTATTCTATAGGTAAAAAAGCCGATATTGAACATCCCAAATGATAATGAAAATCACAATAAACTTGCATATTAGAAGTTTGAATGTTGCCATTTTAATTAAATCACAGCAAGAGTTAACTTCCTCTTAGTAATTTTCCCAACTTTCTTCACACCCATAAGCAAAGGTTTATGGAAGTGCCTGTCCTGAAGTTTGGAAAAATAAGTCAAAATTAGAGGGATGAGGGATAGAAAGTGCACAAATCCACAGACAAAGTATAGCACCTGCTCACTTTTAGTCTTATCCAAATTTTAAGAATAACTGAGATGAACAAAGAAGATATCACGTGTTTTATGGATTTCATTATCTGTGTGGAGCTTTTGTGGGCTATCAGATGTTTCCCCTCCTCCTGTAACAGCCCACCCTCACATCCGCCCTCTACCGCCCGTCTCCTCCCAGCCGAGCCCACTCCCTCCTCACCAGCGGAACCAATGAGACTCAGTGGAGAAATTGCAGACCAAAATCAACCAGTGTTCAGTGGGAGCGGATTAAACAAGAGTTTCCAGGAGCTAGAAGCACCAAGCAGGTAGGAAGAGTGTTTCATTCTTGTTCGCGAGCTTATTTTTTAAATTTTTTTAGAGAAAATGATCCCTGAGTGATGAATAATTAACCACCCGCTCAGATGCTTTTCTTCTCCGCTGAGTTGTTATCGCCTTCATGTTTTTCATTGGTGCTTTTAAGTTTTGCTTCGTCCACCGTGACGCCGGGTCCGTTTGGAGATGAAGTTCTGAGCAGAACCGGTTCTGCCGTCCTAACCGCGGACTCTGTCCAAGGTGCTGAAAGTAAAAACACGCTCCTGTCCCAGGGATCAGTCACTTTTCTGCGTGTAGGAGACTCAGATGGGGACACTTAGCCCACCGTCTCATACTCTGTTCTCGTTTAAAGCAGCTGCGTCTAACCGTGTTGCTCATGAGCACTTCAGCGGGGCGGCTGTTGGACGGCTTTAATGGGGCGCAGATGGTAAAAATAAAATAACTCATGAAATATTCCAATTTATTGTTAAATATAACTATTTAGAATCAATGCTAAATAAACAAAGCTAAATCAAAATGAAATATAAAGGAGTTACTATGATTAAAGGAGCCTACCAAAATAAAAGTCTCTCGTTTAACATCTCGGTGTCCTTTTAGGTTGTGAGATATCATCATAGCCTGTATAGTCATGGATTTGTGCAGCCCGAACCCATACAGAAACCTTGATAAATGATTGAATTGTCCCTCACACCAAAATGACTCTGAGACCTCAGGTAGAAGATCTCTTCATCCTGATTTTCTGGAGGGCTGCTGACGTTCAAATTAAACCTAAACAAGGTGTTTAGCTTGTATGGTTAGATTTATCCCTTTTTAGTGCAAGTGAATATATTTGATCTTTTGTGTATGCTTGAAATTGATGTGAATATGGACAAAATAAGAAAAAGTATATTACAAAACCTAAAATTAAAAGGAATAATGCAGAAAATCATTTATAACCCTTAATATGCTTAAACACTTGCAGTGTAAATCATTTAAAACTATTTAGAAAAGTAAGTCTGGATTTCCACAAATAGGCTCTTCTAATGTCCTGATTTCTATGGAACAAGAATTCCTCATCAGCTCTTCTTGATCAGCTGTTCCTGACATTTTATGACATTTCCAGTATTTCTGGTCTCTACTTGTTTTTTTTCCACTCATTTTCCATCCAGTCCTTGTTCCTGAATGCATGATGTGCATATTTTTCTTTTGAAAAGAAAAGAACTTAAAAGACAAGTGAAGGACAAAAGTAGTCTCAGGTCTAAAACACAGGGTACCCTTAGTGCTACTGTATGTGAAAGTTAAGTTTTCAAGAAACCTGAAACATGACCTGAGAGATGTGTGATGTTTTTCCGCTGGTTGCTTTTTGTAAATTAACTCGTTGATGCTAAAATAAGATTTTATGTGTTATTGTGGTTTAAGTTTTCATGAACTCATATAAATAAATTGAAACAACTTGTGTCTTTGTCACACGTTGGTGGTAAAAATGTCCCTATAGAATAATGTCTGCTAAGTTCTTCACCTGAGTGTTTCATAGATCATACTTAAGAGGTCTGATAAACAATAATGATTAGTTTTTTAAACCTAATTCCCTCTCAGTTTGGGCTTTATAGACGTGTCTTTGCAGAAATCTGACCCAGACTCTTAAAAGCCTGTGACCTTTATGTCTTGTCCCTCGTCCCCACTGAGGTGAGATAATCCTCCCCCCCCAACGGCGTTGCTCTGACAGGCAGTCGCAACAGCTTATTTAATTATTTTCTCCTTTGACTCAAACAAGAATCTCTGTTTTTGTGATATCTGCACCAAAACAAAAGGGTCTGTCTCGCTTGAATCTGAACTCAGATCCTGCAGCCGATCACTTCATCTTCCCACCCCACCCTAACCCCCTGGAGTGATACCATCTCACAGCACTGTTCTGCTGGTCGGCAGCTTCCTCTCACCTTGGACCACGATGAATGACGTGCAGGAAGCGACCTCTCCTGCGACCAGCCTGAATGGCCCGGCGACCTGCGTCACCAAAGTGGAGCTGCGAGTGTCATGCAAAGCTCTGCTGGACCGAGACACATTGAACAAGTCAGACCCGTGTGTCGTCCTCATGGTGCAGAACAACGGGCAGTGGGTTGAGGTGAGCCTCTTGTCTCTCGTTGTGATAAAGATGCTGCTGTGACTTTTGGGACCTCTTCTGCTCTCTTAAATCACAATGTAACAAGTAGAATCCATCTTCCATCTTTTGAAACATATTTAAAATGACTCATGCTTTGACTCACACATGAATAGAGATGCAGCATCTTTAGTTAATCTGTGCAACAATTTTTTTTCTGCATAAACAAGTCCAAGGACGTTTAGTTCACCCATCCTGAGGCTGAGATTGTAAGATAAATCCCTGCTATATTGTGTAATTATATTTCACATGTTGACATTTCTATCAGTTTTAATAAAAAAAAGTTATAAAGGCTCAAACAGGAAGTGTATTGATCTGATAGAAGTTGCAGCTTGTTGAAACTCTTGGAAAAGGTTGTGTTCTGCAGCCATCTACACCCATAATCAGCTATTTGTTGCTGCAGTCTAATGACATAAGGAAACAGAGAGTTGTCAGCCCCCACAGAGCCATTGTTGCTATGTGTTTAGCATAAATCTGTCTTTCATTGATCCCAAGCTGATCTCCAGTTTGAAAAGCAGGCCTCTCATCTCATTTCCCTCCTAATTAGCCAATTAAGTTCAGGAGGAGAGGCCAGAACTCAGGTCTCCACTAAGTGGGGGACGTGTTAAAGTGTGGCACAGAACATCTAATTATAGAGAAGCCTTAAAATAAGGAAATAATTGTTTTCTTTTTATTCTTTTATTTTTTTTTTAATTTTTTAGGAAAATGGGAGATATTAATTAGCTGCAACTCTGGCAAACGGCTGCGATGTGAGACCTATTTGTTGTAACATTTGGGCTAAATGAATGGGGGAATCTCAAGATGCTATTTATAGACAGGAATGGCAAGAACGATTGGCTGACCGAGCTGTGGAGGTTTCTCTCTGTTTCTGAGACGGGATGGGGAGGTTGTAATATGAGATCACTGACCTGGGCACCATCTCTCTCTCTCTCTCTCTCTCTCTCTCTCTCTCTCTCTCTCTCTCTCTCTCTCTCTCTCTCTCTCTCTCCTCCTCTCTCTCTCTTCTCTCCTCTCTCTCTCTCTCTCTCTCTCTCTCTCTCTCTCTCTCCTCCCCCCCCCTCTCTCTCTCTCTCTCTCTCTCTCTCTCTCTCTCTCTCTCTCTCTCTCACCCCTCTCTCTCTCTCTCTCCTCTCTCTCTCTGTCTCCCCTCATCCCTCCCCCCTCTCTCTCTCCTCTCTCTCTCTCTCTCTCTCTCTCTCTCTCTCTCTCTCTCTCTCTCTCTCTCTCTCTCTCTCTCTCTCTCTCTCTCTCCACACACATTGTCTGACTCCTGTTGTCAGATCCCTTCAGAACTCGGAGGCACTTCTTCAGAAAATTGTTTACTTACGTCAGCAACTGAGTAAAAACCAAAGCCCATTCATGTCAGCCTCTTTCTTCTCCCTCAGCTCAGGCTTCATGGTCCCGGTGACTTGCAAGTGCACTTATCTCATTAGGACAATTAGGAAAATAAAATCTAGAGTCATGGTGGAGATGCTGTGACATTATTGCATCCAGCGCTGCTGCAGATGTCTTATTTTTGCATGAACTACTCACACAAATCTGATCATTCTGTTCATGACGCTTCAAAAGCAGTGCTGGACGCACCTGCAGGAGTCTTTAGGATTCTGGCTTTGCACCAGCAGCAGAACAGGCATCACAGACTTCATCACAACCCATCTTATACGAGTCTGATTATATTTAATCAACAAACAGACACATTCCAAATCGGTGCATCCAGATGGCGCGATGAGCGAGAGAGGCAGGAGGAAAAGAATATCAAGGCCTGCTGTTTAAAGTGCAGCGTTTGTCTGAACTGTCTGTTTTTTGTCAGGAACTCTGGTGGATACTTAAAAACACGTTCATTTCAATGTTCGTTTAAACATTAAATGTAAAATCACAGACTGACACATGCTGAAGAGAAAAAAAATTTGAAACATGTAAAATTAAAAGATTAAAAGGTGAGCAGAAGTAAACTAGAAGGACATTTATGCTTTCTGTGCCAACATAGGGAACTGTAGCGTTCTTTGTTGGAGTTTTGAACTAACATGATCTTATACTGGAACATGGGATTAAAGTCGAGATTTGTTTTTGCCATAACTTCACATTTCGAGGGTGTGAATTCCTTTCAGCACTATTTTGGCTCAATAGCTGTAAAACTGAATTTATGTGTTTGCTAGAGAGAGAGGTGATTCAGCCACACCATAAAACAGCAATAAGTCGGTCTGAGGCAAAAGTGAACCTCATGGCTTTTCCATCTTTTCCCCTATAGACATTTGATTACGCACAAGTAGGTGATCAGCTCAGGTTTATGCAGAGCAGAAGGAAGGAGAGCGCTCTGGCCGCACAGGTTAAACGTTCCTACTTTAAGAAAACCGTTAAATTGCATTGTTTATGTGCTACCTGGGCACTCTAAATATTTATTTAAAACTAAATCAAAGGAAATTGTAATGGTATCGAATGCTTATTAATTACTATTTAAAAAATGAAAGTGATGGGGAAAAAGGTCGACCATATTTTTGTTAACCCTGTCTGTTTAGCTTGATGTCTGATATATATATATATATATATATATATATATATATATATATATATATATATATATATATATATATATATATATATATATATAGCGCCATGCCCTGATGTGGGGACTGGGGGGTGCTTCGACATGGTCGGGACATAGAAGGGGGTGCACGGCTAAATACGTTTGGGAACCACTGCTATAGATCGTTGGAAAGCTGCTTTTATGTACTTTTAGGAACCGTTGGAATTATTTGAATCTGATCAGCCATTCAAAAGTTATAAAACGGAGCATTTTGGATGACAAACTCAGCACGTCTCTGAATCTGTGTTGTGATTCGTTGCGCTCAAGACAGGGAATCCCGGTGGCTACCGTAATGTATTGTATATGCACGAAAAGCCCCATTTTTAATCTTTTCAGCACTTTAGAAATTTTAATGATATCTTGAACGGTTCAGGAATTATGGTAATGAGAAGTGCGCATGTCCAATCCCGTCCGCGGCCACAGGTTGGTAATATGAATATTGTGGCATTAGGTGCCGGCGGTCAGGGCAAGGGGGCCCCCCAACACAAGGGGGCCCCAGACGGCCGCCTACCTATGCCTAATTGTAAAACCGCCTCTGGCAAGAGGATTCAGGTAGATGGGAGCCGTACCAAATAAAGTTTTTCTGATTCTGACAAGAGGAGAGAATAAAGAGACGAGGCAAATCAGACCGACATTTTCCGTCATCCCAGAGCTCATACGGGCTTTAAGAACTTTGATTTTGTCTGCAATAAGTTTCTCTCTAAACCTCATGTCTTTGGATGGTAAAGTGTTAATATATCTGGGATTTTGTATGTAAACTTAGAAGTGTACTTGCATATTGAAAGCAGGCCAAACTGTGTCTGGTTTTGCCACCGTGCATGCGCTCAAAGAGGAAAAAAGGTCAACATAACTCTTTTTCTGTTTTTTTTCTCTGTCAGTTTCAAAATGGGGCGCCGTAAAACAGAACGCTAGGTCATTCATCCCCTCTGCAGTAAGAGTGTACTTCTCCTCAGTTTAGCTGACAATATTCATTATGTGCTCAGTACTCGTTCTATATCAGATTTACATAATATGTCTGTCTCTTGCAGTATGCTGCATAGTGTTGGAACCCAAGTTTTTTCCCATTTTATTTGTGGTTTTTAGTGGTCGAAGGTTACAATCTAGACATGTACCTTTGTTACAAATTTTCTTCAAATTATTCCCTTAACAGTTGGTCCTGCTGTAACCATAGACTGTACATACTGGACAATTCGATTCCATAGGCTCCAATAACACGTTTTTTGTCTATAATGGGAGGTGGCCACCACCGCCACTTTGACCGTGTCACAGGTTCCGTCCAGCCCAGACAATTCCATAAAAGGGAAGAGAGGAGGAGCTGAGGGTGCGGCTGTAAGGCTGGGATCGACTGACGACACCCGGGCGAACTAGCTACAAGCTAACCTGAAGCTAACCCTGGCTAACCCAAAGCTAACGCGGAGGTGGGAGCCGAGCTAACGGATGTAGCCACCTAGCTTCAACCCAACCGGAGCTAACTGTGGAACACCCATCGACCTGAACCTCACACGAAGTTTAGGTGGAGGTTTTCGGCGCCTTTTCGTGAAAAGTACCTGGATTAAAAAAGTATTAAATTGGTAAGTTTATAATTTATTTCCGTAATGAAAACATTTTGCTTTGAGCAAGTTTTCAGTACCGTATTTTCCGGGCTATCGCGCCATGGTCTCCAGCCAGCAGAGGAGAGGATGGCGGTGTTTCAAACCCTCCCGGCCGGCGAGGAGAGCTCATTCCTGGGCTGGAGCCGGCCCTCAGCACCCCGCCACTGGCTACAGCAGATGCTGGCGGTGTTTGAAACCCTCCCAGTGGGACAGGGGAAGTCGTTCTTGGGTCGGAGTCGGCTCGCAGCAGCGCGCCACGTTCTCCAGTCGAGGAAGGCGGTTTTTGAAACCCTCCCAGCGGGACAGGGGAAGTCGTTCTTGGGCGGGTCGGAGTCGGCCCGCAGCAGCGCGGTGTAGCCTACATATTTTGTTAAATTAGTCGCTCCGGAGTATAAGTAGCAGGACCGGCCAGACTATGTAAAAAAGTGCGAGTTATAGTCCGGAAAACACGGCAGTTATTAGTATTCGAGCTAAATTAGCAGCCTAAATACATTTCATGTATTTCCAAAACGTAATAACTGTTTGTATCTTGTACATCCAACTAGCCTTTATTCTGGACTCAGTACAATTCACCAAAAGTAAAAAGACATTATACAGATGAAGAAAGCACAAGATAACTTACTGGAAGACACGGAATTATCATGAGAACCAGAACAAGAGAGTCTGATAACAGTCTTATGAAAATAACAGTTAAAAAGTATCTATGTATAATAGAAATAAAAATATATTAGAATTAGTGTAACTCGCTGTGATCCAAACAATAAATCAGCCATAGCTGATTAGTAAATATGACATGAGGTCTGGGAGTTTTTAAGTTTCATTCTTTTATTACATTTTTTTCTTTGATCTGTTAAAAGGACACCATGGCAGCCTGTGTGTCTCCAACATCAGCTACACAACGCAGTAAGTGTAAGTACCAAGTACCTGTCTTGACCACTTCATGTATGGTTTTGTACTTTAAACAGCTAGGCCAAACCTGTAATTTTTTCTCCATAGCCATTTGGATCATTGGAGACAGCTACGTGAGGCGTGGTGCCCAGAGAGCTGCAGAGACCGTCGGAGACAACCTTGGCCTCCCTGACGTCTGTGTCTCCTGGTTTGGTTGGGGCGGACTGAGGTGGAAAGACCTTCTCCCCTTCTTTCACTCCCTTCATGGAAGAGCAGCTCCTCATGTCCTCATCATTCACTGCGGCGGCAATGACATGGGGGTGGTCAGCAGTGTGAAGCTGGTCAACATGATGAAGGAGGACCTGCACCGGCTTCACCTTCTCCACCCTCATATGACCATCATCATGTCGTCCATCACCCAAAGGTGTAGATGGAGGGCAGGTGTAAAACCTGCCAAAATTGAGAAGGCCCGGAGGTTCGTCAACAGTGTAATGGCTACTTTTATTTCTAGTTTAAATGGTGCAGTTGTTGTGCATCCTCACATCAGACATGACAGTCCAGGGATATTTTTGTCAGACAGAGGCTGTGTCCGAATCCAGAGGAAGGATGCTTGTAAGAGCGCATTATGAGGTCGATGACGTCAAAGCGCAGCGACGAGTACTGTCCGAATTCCAAGAATACTCATTCTCGCGTCCTCAAACGCGTCCTCGCTCCACCCACATTTCGAGGATGGGTCTGATGGATCCTCACAGGAGCAAGGTATCCCAGCATGCTTTGCGCGCCGGCTGCTGGACTCGACACTCGCAACAATGGCGGACGGAGCGGGAGAGCAGTACAGCTTAAAATGTAAGTTTGTTAAAAAAATAGCGGTCAAAAAAATAAAATACGTGCTTGGGCACTTTTGGTTTGTTTTTCATATAAGATCTAATACCGCAGATTGTTTTTTTCATGTAATTTAAGGCTAAAACATGCCCCACCGAAAACTAGCTTGAATGTGTAATAGGAAAAACCCACCGTAAACTAGCTTGATCCCAGCAGGCTTTTTTAAAGAAAATAGCGGTAGAAAACTAAGCTGAAAGCGGTTCTGTTTATAGACATTTTTGTTTGTATAAAGTACATTTTAAGCAGAAATCAGCGAGAACGAGCTTGTATGGTGGTCCCGTCATAATTCCCGTTTGTGTGTGTGTTTATTTAGCGAATAAAGCTTCTCATCATTTGTTTTAAGGTTAACACCCCACCGTAAACTTGCTTGAATGTTTAATAGGAAAAAACTCACCGTAAAACTGCTTGCATCTTATTTAATCATGTAATGAACGCCAAAAATAACGAAAACTAAGTTTAATGTTTATTTAAATTAATTTTGAAGAAACCACATTACTGATTTAATGTTTTTAGCACGGTGGCATGGAGGTACAAGAGTAAATCCATTACACATTATATGAGCATAGTATTTCCATCTATGTTCTGCTGCGAAAAGTACAGTTTATCATTATTTTATTAATACAGTTGACATGTTTTCTTTCTTCTATTGTTCTCTTTATCATCTATTTAGGATGGGTCAAGTGCAGCAGTGGGGGACACAGATGAGAGGGAGAGTGGTGAGAGTCAGCCGACAACATAGGGAGAAAAAGAAAGAGCAGCAGGGATGATGAACTCCTTGACGTCATCAGGGAGGACATCAGACAGCAGAGGGAAGCGGAGGAGAGGAGAGAAAGGATGATGGAAAGATTTTTAGCCCTCATGGAGAGAATGGTGGAGAAATAGTTTAATTTAAATTAGTTTTTGTTCTGGTTCAAGATATTTGTTATGAAATTTTATATTTGTTGGAATGTATTTGACATTTGATGAAATGTAATAAAATTTCTATTAATTGATAACTCCTTTCGGATCATTTTAACGGTTTTATTATTATTCAGATTTTTTTTAAGTAACAACATAGGATAAATTAATGGTGAGGGAAAACTGATACATAAAAATCATTTGAAGATAACAACAATATAACAAGTATGTGCATTTAAAGCAGGATTAACCTGAGTGACTTTTCCTGGACTGTTTAAATTTGGTAAACAGGAAATCTTTGGCGGTGATAAATCTGCAGAACATGGATCCCTGAGATGGGATGGAGTGCTGGAACCGAGACCAGTGCCTGGACTTTTCTGGTTGGAGAGTGGAGCATCACACAGGGTGGTCTGCAGCGGGTGCTTCTGGATGCATCATCTCACTGTCCCCTGCATCGTCCATCAAAAGGGTTTGCTGGGCTGGCTCAATCAACGGCTGTCACATCGCTAACATTTAGATATATGCAAAAGGAGATATATGGATTTATTAATATAATACGTGTAACGTGTAACTAGCAGACCAAAAGACTAAATGCTTTTTTAAATTAGAGATCCCTACATAAATTACTTGCCTGCTAACAGTAACCGTGGTCTGGTGGTACCTCCTCCAGAGCACACACCTCAGCAACAAGTTGGTCCCGCCACAGTGCACCACTGACGGCCTCCAAGCCAGCCTCCCCCTCATCTTCTGCAACATCATCCTCAGGTTCATCCTCCTGCAGCACAATGCCACCAGCACTGAGGCAGATGTTGTGCAGAATGGTGCATGCTGTGATGACCTGGAATACAGACAAAACATGATTATATATTTAATTGTAAATCAAAGAATACATCCAACATTTTTTCCCACTGTGTGTTAACTTACATGAGGTACAAAGGTGTGGTGCACCTCCAGCGCTTTCAGGAAGATGGTCCTGAACCTGGTCTTCATCATTCCAAAAGCACACTCTATGATGCAGCGTGCCTGGAATGATGGCTGTTGAAGCGCTGGGCTCCCACACCTGGAACCACCCGTTTGTAGGGGGTGATGAGGGGGAGTGGATGTTGGAGGCAGGGGTACCCTCCATCTGCGAGGATGAAGTGTCCTGGAGGAGGATAGGCAGACTGCTTGTACAGTGGGCTATGGCAGAGCACCTTGGAATCATGGACCGACCCAGGCCAGCCCACATAGGTGTTAATAAAGCGGCCCTGATGGTCACAAACTGCCTGTAAAAATGTTTAAATGAATGCTTTTTTAAAAGAGATACAGGCATTAGGCTTAAGATAAAAAGGACAATAAAAATTAATATTTCAATGCTATTTTATGCAGTATACAAACTTTATGCACACAAATAAGCATGAAGATCAAATATTTTTATTAGTAAATAAAAATTTATTTAGGCAATATTATTTATCTACTTGTTAGTATGTTCTATAGTAATTTGTACTTTTAGCCACAGGTCTTTCAGTTGCTTAAAAGATAAATGAAACTAGCTAAGTTAGCATATGATTCCTGAAAGCTGGTTCACTGAACAAAAAAAAAAAATTACCTGGATATGGTTACTTCTCAGCCTTAAATAATAACGTCGGCGACAGAGATTAAGCAGGTCATTAACTAAAAAGTATAAAAGGAAAAAACAGATTTCTGGATCCATTTTCCCAGCTTGTTAGCCTGTTTGCCGCTGTCATGGTAGCTAAGCAACTGGACCTGGGGGCGGGAATAAAACGAGGCTTCCGTATGGCGTTTAAAGCGTGCCACAACCCGTGCACGCGCATTGGGTCCACAGCGCGCGTGTGAACGGGACTCGCGAGCGAAAATATACATGGCAGCGCGCACGTGAACGGGACTCGCGAGCGAAAATATACATGGCGAGAGGTCATTAGTGCACTGAGAGGGAGCAAACTGTGTCTGTGAGCGCACAAGGATGTGCACAAGTGACAAACCTGCGTGCGCGCGTTGCCAACGAGCACACGGCAGAGGAAAACGTGCGCGCGCGGCAGCCTCTCTGCGCGCTCGGCAGCCTCTGCGCGCTCGGTTTCTAATTCCGCTCGCTCGGCTGTGAGGGCTTTTGGCACTCTGGAGGCGTGGCCTGTGGCAGATCTTCCCTGTCCTCTGATTGGTTAGTTTACCCCGCACTTTACTCTCTAGCTATCTATATAAAAAAATCTTAGGTTCAGCAGTTGCTGTCATAGCTCAGCTGGGAGAGCGGGTGACTCTCACTCTGGAGGATCCAGGTTTGAGTCCGGCCAAGGAACATAGAGTTGATGTCATATTATTCTTTCCTAATTCCTGTGATATTATTTTACAGTTGTGACCGTTCAACTGTCATTAAACGTCCGAATGTTTGCTGGGCAGTGTTTTAAAAAGTGCACTTAAGCTAGATGGTTTTAACCAGGTAAAAATAGACTTGTGGGTGTAGGTATGTTCAAGTTTTAAAAGTTCTTGCCTCATTAATGTATTGTTTATTTTTTTCAGCATTTAATTGACAAATTATCCTTTCAAATAATTAATTGATGAGTTACATAACTGTCCATTTAGAATTGTTGAATGGACTGAGTCAAGTTTGGTGCACTTTATATATTTCAAAACATGTTTTTTTTATTTTAATTATGCATATAAATAATTTTAATGTTAATTTATTTAAATATTTCTATTTTTTCATTACCTCACCCTAGTTTTGACAAAAACGGGACCTTGCTGGATAATATCACGGAGAAACTATTTGTTCACAGTACATGGCTCAGTGAGGATCTGTATACCAAAGGAGGAGATACTCAGAAATCTGTCTGCAGATTGTTACAACCCAGACTGGAAGTGGTGGGCTGTAATAAGAAAGGAGACCAAACAGAGGAGTGGGGGGTTCAACAACTGATTTATTTAACCAAAGTAAGGATTTACTAAAGCAAGTTAGTGAACAGAAAATGGCCAGTGAGGACTCTCCACCACACAGGAGAGACCCAGTGAAAGCAGAAAAACAGTAGGCTTTGTAGGCAGCACCACACCCTGAGCCCAGGTGCCTCCAAGGCTGCTTAACGAGCTGCCTACAACAGAAGAAAAACACAATTAAACACAAATGAAAACCCAATGAGACGGTGGGGGCATCACAACACGTTCAGGACTACCCAAACACCAGTAATTCTTGACTGCACTGATCTGAGGTGTCAATGGCCATATTCCCCTCTCTTCCAGAGTCATATATTTTCCTCAAGTTCAACTGCACTCTGAAGAGGCTCATTTGGATTGTGCCACATAGGCCAGTGACCTTTGTCTCAGCACTGTATGCTGGAACTATCAGCGACCAACCTGGGAATCTGGTGTGTTGAAAATGCTACAACTAGAGATGGTCATCATGGTAGACAGGGGTTTCTTCATTGATGACATTGTGCCCTGCAAAGTGTACAGGCCAGCTTTTCTTTCTGGCAAACCTCAAATGTCTGCATGTAAAGTTATAGAAACAGAAGCCATAACATCTCTGAGTGCATGTGGAGCGCTCCATTCATCTGGTCCAAGAACACTAGGTTTTTGATTGTTATTCCCCTCCTTGCATTTGTAAACAATCAGCTATATGCTGTGGTTTCTCTCCTTACCGACTTTTAAAATAGCCCACTAGTGAAGGCCTGGGCAAAGAAGCCTGATGTCTGAGAACCTCAACATATGTACGGCAACCACACTGTATATTTACACACTTTCATAAAGAAGCTACATATCAAGCTTTCATTCAGATGACCTTCAACAGTGCTGCACCCTGCTGAGGGACATCCGAGTAAAACCTTGAGATGGCCATTTTCTGTTCACTAACTTGCTTTAGTAAATCCTTACTTTGGTTAAATAAATCAGTTGTTGAACCCCCCACTCCTCTGTTTGGTCTCCTTTCTTATTACAGCCCACCACTTCCAGTCTGGGTTGTAACCATCTGCAGACAGATTTCTGAGTATCTCCTCCTTTGGTATACAGATCCTCACTGAGCCATGTACTGTGAACAAATAGTTTCTCCGTGATATTATCCAGCAAGGTCTTGTTTTTGTCAAAACAAGGGTGAGGTAATGAAAAAATAGAAATATTTCAATAAATTAACATTAAAATTATTTATATGCATAATTTAAAAAAAAACATGTTTTGAAATATATAAAGTGCACCAAACTTGACTCAGTCCATTCAACAATTCTAAATGGACAATTAAGTAACTCATCAATTAATTATTTGAAAGGATAATTTGTCAATTAAATGCTGAAAAAAATAAACAATACATTAATGAGGCAAGAACTTTTAAAACTTGAACATACCTACACCCACAAGTCTATTTTTACCTGGTTAAAACCATCTAGCTTATGTGCACTTTTTAAAACACTGCCCAGCAAACATTCGGACGTTTAATGACAGTTGAACGGTCACAACTGTAAAATAATATCACAGGAATTAGGAAAGAATAATATGACATCAACTCTATGTTCCTTGGCCGGACTCGGACCTGGATCCTCCAGAGTGAGAGTCACCCGCTCTCCCAGCTGAGCTATGACAGCAACTGCTGAATCTCAGATTTTTTTATATAGATAGCTAGAGGGTAAAGTGCGGGGTAAACTAACCAATCAGAGGACAGGGAAGATCTGCCACAGGCCACGCCTCCAGAGTGCCAAAACTCCTCACAGCCGAGCGAGCGGAATTAGAAACCGAGCGCGCAGAGGCTGCCGAGCGCGCAGAGAGGCTGCCGCGCGCGCACGTTTTCCTCTGCCGTGTGCTCGTTGGCAACGCGCGCACGCAGGTTTGTCACTTGTGCACATCCTTGTGCACTCACAGACACAGTTTGCTCCCTCTCAGCGCACAAATGACCTCTCGCCATGTATATTTTCGCTCGCGAGTCCCGTTCACGCGCGCGCTGCCATGTATATTTTCGCTCGCGAGTCCCGTTCACACGCGCGCTGTGGACCCAATGCGCGTGCACGGGTTGTGGCACGGGTCTGACGCGATACTTCCGGTTTTAGCGGTCTTGCAAGGACCCGGCCTTGCTAGACCGGCGAGGACTCGTACTCACAAGCATCCTTCCTCTGGATTCGGACACACCCAGAGTTCATTTCACTAATAGGGGAAATGATATATTTTAACTAATATTGCCGATTGTCTTAAAGGCCAGCTCCAAAAGCAATGAAAGACTTCCAGGTGGGAGTCTCGCTGCTGTTGAATTTGGCCTTTATGACAGATTCATTTTCAGGCAAACAGGATAAACATATCCCTGACTGTTATAGCTAATGTGTGTGTACAAAAGGCCCCATAGTTTTGAGTTCTCCTTTCTATTCTGTTCAGTTGTTCACCTGTAGTTGCTTAGAGTGACCTGTAGATGTCACCCCACCACTTTGGGTGGGAGAGGTTTTGGGCAGGTGGATACGTGGGTGAGATCTATATGAGTGGCTGTGTCCGAATCCAGAGGTAGGATGCTTGTGAGTACGGGTCCTCGCCGGTCCTTGCTAGACCGCTAAAACAGGGAGTTAGCCTCAAGGGCAAAATGCCGATTATCACTTGTAAGTCGCTTTGGACAAAAGCGTCTGCTAAATACATAAACATAAGTCAGCGGCTCTGAATTCGGACAGTACTAGCCTCGTTTTTATTCCCGCCCCCAGGTCCAGTTGCTTAGCTACCGTGACGGCGTCAAACAGGCTAACAAGCTAACAAGCTAGTCAGAGGTGAAAATGGATCCACTGCAGTATTCCCTTTTATTTTTGGTTTTTGAGGAGCTGCGACTGCTTAGTAGACGTCACCGGCCTTTGTATTTAAGGCTGAGAAGCAGCCATATCCAGGTAAAATTATTTTTTGTTTAGTGAACCAGCTTTCAGGCATTACATGTTAACTTTAGTGCTAGTTTCATTTATATTTTAAGCAACAGAAAGACATGTGGCTGAATATACACATTAGTATAGAGTAGACTAACATGCATATAGTTAATTTAACCTATATTCATCTAAAATAATTAATGGAATGACATTTTAGAAGTTTGTATTTGATCATAATGCTTGGTTCTGTGCATAAATTTCATAGTAAAAGTAGCATTACAATGTGTTTAATATGTATTGTCCTTTTCAACTTATGCATAATAATGCCTAGCTCTCTTCTAAAAATCTCAAGCATTTATACAGGTTTTTTTTTAATTGTTTTATTGTTCTCTACTTTTCTTTTAACAGAACAGACCCCTGTACTGTAGGATAAACATGAGTGTGCCAGTCCTGGACCGTTTTTTTTAACCAGGAAGATCCCAGGCCAGATTTTCGTCTGAGCAGGGAGTCTTTTGTGGTGTTGCTAAATCTCCTGAACCAAGATCGGCGACATGGTTGGGGTGCCACAATCGAGACCCTGGTGTTTCTGTTCTGGTTGGCAAGTGGAACATTCTACAGAGTGGTCTCAAGAGTATTTGGGATGCCTCGCTCAACTGTCCACGACATCGTCCATTGAGTCACGGAGGATGTGGTCGCAATCCTCCACCAGGTCATTCACCTCCCCAAAACCCCAGAGGAGATGGAGGTTGTGTCTCGTGGGCTTGCTGGGCTGGCTCGACACAGAGCTTTCATGAAAGCAGCAGGTGCGATCGACTGCTGCACATTCGGATCAAGGCTCCGAGCGGTACTGATGGTCAGTGCTACAGAAACAGGAAACTGTTCCCATCTATCATCCTGCAGGCAGTTTGTGACCATCAGGGCCGCTTTATCGACACCTATGTGGGCTGGCCTGGGTCGGTCCACGACTCCAGGGTCCTCCGGCACAGCCCACTGT